CCTAGGTGTCATTCAGGAAGGGAGGTGTTTTGTTTTGTTTGCTCTGTACCAAACGGCTGGTCATTCAATCTCTTAGCTGGAAAATCTTTTCCAAGTTACACTATTTGGGGATGTAATTGAGTCACACGAGGTCCAGGAAGATGTATTCATTGTAGCTCAGTGATAGAACACTTGCCTAGCATGTTTGAGGGGAGGGTTTGATCCCAAGTAACACATACATATACACACACCAAAACCAACCACAAACAAAACCCAGCAAAAAACAAAATAAACAAATGAGAAAAACCCAAAAACTGTCCTAGACCCTGGGGCCAAGATGTGGTCCCAGCCCTCCTGTACCTTAGTGGTTGAGAAGAAATAAACCTTCCTCTCCCCACAAAAGAGCCAGTCCCAGTCTGGGTATTCATTTTTATCCACAAAATATTAAGAAATTACTATGTAAGGAAATTTCATGAAAATAGAATAGAGACTGGTAAAGGAAGGGGGTCAGATAGGGAGGAGGGGAGAAAAGGATGAGGTACTGAGGAATGAAATTGACCCAATTATGTTATATGCATGTACAAATATGTCACAATGAATCCCACTATTGTGTATAATTATAATGCACACAATACAAAACAAAAAGAACATACTCATAAATTATTCCTAAGATAGAGAAGAATTAGATGAGTCATGATAGCAGGCAGGATATAACCAGCAGGAACCTTGAAGCTGATAAAAAAAGTAGAGGTAGGAGGCTGGGGCTGTAGCTCAGTGGCAGAGCGCTTGCCTAGCATGCATGAGGCATTGGGTTCGATCTTCAGCACCACATAAAAATAAACAAATAAAATAAAGGCATTGTGTCAATCTAAAACTATAAAAAAAAATTTTTTAAAAGTAAAGGTAGGCTAGCAAAGGATTTGAGTGAAGGACTGGTAAGTGGTCGCTGAGACAACTAGGCAGGTGGAAGGCAGGTTTGTTAATTTGCTTAGGAGATGTTCCTATTCAGACCTTGGGCCTACCACATTCAATCTCTACCATTACAATCCACTTATATGTATTTCAAGTCTTAGAAGAACAACTTGCAGATCAACAGTATTTCATCACAAAGAATAGCATGTGGTTGAGGTGGAAGAACTGTGGAAAGAAAAAAAAGAGATTAATTTTTTAATTTAATTTTTATTAGATATATATTTTATTATATTATATTTAGTCAAACCCTTTCCCTCTTTTCAAGTACTCCTTGGAGTACTTGGTAGCATTTATCTGTTTCCATTCCAAATTTAAAAACAGACTTCATTGTGCGAGTCAGAAATGAAAAAAAGCTAACATTTTATGGAGTGTTTGCAAAGTACCAGGCACCTCAGTGACATCCCCACCTCCCCCTTGTCACTGTCTTCCTGAGTGATACCATTTGTAACACTGCAGTCAACCAGTTGTCTGCCTCCTGTAAATAGGGTACCTACATGTTCCCTTGCCCTAGACAGTATGATCAAGGGGAGAGTCAGGGCTCAGATTTAAACCCACCCATTACCAGCAGTGTGACCTTGGACAAGTTCCCTTTTCTGAGACTGTTTCTCCATCTATAAAATAGGATGATAATGTCAAACTCTACTGACCTATGAGGTGTTTATAGAAAAATCATATTTGGTAAATATAAAATATCTAACACAATCCTGGACACCAGATAGGTAATCAGTGTTTCTTCTCCCTTTGTCCACTCTCCTTGCAAACACTCAGCCTTTCTCAGGGACCACACCCAACATCCAGAGCTGCTAATGCACAGGACTGGATTCAGAGAATGAGGTTAGAGCTTTGCGTTGCCACTTCCTAGCTGGGTGGTATCAGGCAAGTCATTTTGTGTTTCTCATCTGTAACATGGGACTTGTATACCCTGCCTTCCTCACAGTATTATAATAGCTCAGAAGAGTAGGCTTCAATTAGACCAAAGAAAACAGCAATTAAAAGGGATTTTTAAAAGGGAATTTTCTATTCAGGTTGGTTGCATTGACTGTCTCCCATGAGAGGAGAGGCTCCCAGGACTGAAAACACTTTTCCTCTTTGTAGAGGTTCTGGCTTTTCTACCTGGAATATCTGGTATGTAAATGATCATCATGTTAGCAATTATTCAAGAATGTCCCAGAACAGGATCTGAACACACAGAATTCTAGCCTGCTCATGGGTGGGTATGTGGACTCCAAGATGGAAAGAAGGAAAACTTTTGTAACAGATATCATGTTACTATAGGGCTTCAGTTTCCCCAACTCATAACAGGGGAGAAAGGGGGAGTGCAGGTGGAGTCTTTTAAAGGTGTCTTGGCTCTACATTTCCACATTCTCTGAATTTCTGGGCACACATCCTACCTTCTTTCCTGCAGCTGAGGCCCCTATTGGATGTGTCTACAATGAATGAAAGCTGATGAGGCCGCCTTTGAAGGCTCATCAACAATCCCCTGGGATGCTTAATTGCTTCCTGCCCATCCAATAGCAATTGATTGTGCCTCTGAGGGACACTTGAGATTTCAACAAGGTGGCCTGTTTAGCTAATAGCTGCTGTTCTCACTGGAGGCTGGCAAAATAATGTTGGAAAGCCCTAACCATCAACCTCTAGTATTAAAGGAAAGTAAAAATACCAAGGATCATCTGCCAAACTCAGACTCGTTTCCATGGCAACCCAGAACCTTCAGCCTAAACTGAAGGTTTAAGGATCAAAATGTGGTTTAAGGATCAGTAGCCACAGCATCACCATGGAACTTGTTGAACACCCACATTTTTAGTCACCCCAGGTCTATTAAACCAAAAACTCCCAGAGGCATCACCTTCCAAGTGGTTTCAGAACCACTAACCTAAGAAACAAAACACATCTTTGTTTTTAAATTTGTTCTAATTATTTATACATGACAGCAGAATGCATTTCAATTCATCGTTCACAAATGGAGCACAATTTTTCATTTCTCTGGTTGTACATGATGTAGTCACACCATTTGTGCAATTACATAGGGTAATAATGTTGGTCTTATTCCACCACCCTTCCCACCACCATACCCCCTCCCCTCCCCTCAATCCCTTCTGCCCAATCTAAAGTTCCTCCATTCTTCCCCCTGCCCCCCATTATGGATCAGTAGTCACATTTCAGAGAAAAATTTGGCCTTTGCATTTTTGGGACTGGCTTATTTTGCTTAGCATGATATTCTCCATCTCCATTTATCTGTAAATGCCATAATTTATTTTCTTTTAATGCTGAGTAATATTCCATTGTGTATATATATCATGGTTTCTTTATCCATTCATCAATTGAAGGGCATCTAGGTTAGTTCCATAGTTTAGCTATTGTGAATTGAGCTGCTATAATATGGATGCGTCACTGTAGTATGCTGATTTTAAGTCTTTTGGGTGTAGACCAAGGAGTGGAATAGCTGGGTCAAATGGTGGTTCCATTCCAAGTTTTCTAAGGCATCTCCATACTGCGTTCAGAGTGGTTGCACCAATTTGCAGTTCCACCAGCAATGTATGAGTGTACCTTTTCCCCCACATCCTCACCAACAATTATTGTTGCAAAGCACATCTTTCAAACCATGAGATCTTGATCTCCTCCTCAAAGTCCACTGGCAGGTATAAAATAGTGGGTTGAACCAGCACCTAGAACCAGCCCAGGTTCTATTACTTCTCAGCTAAAGGACCACGGGCAAACTATTAAACCTCTTTTATCCTGTTTCCTTACCTGTAAATTGAAGCTAATACCTATAGTCAGCTGTTCTTGAGGTAAGAAATAGCACACATATGGTCTGGACCTCTACAACATATATGTACAGATGTTATTAAAATATTTATCTTTCTTTAGCCTCCCATATATTTTACTTTTCAATAATTCTGTTTATTCAACCTAGTATAAAAGTATTTAGGTATTGCCACTTCTTTGGATCTTCATTTACTTATGAGGGTTATCATGTCCTGTAAAACTTAATTAAATAAATGGGTATGCTTCTCTGCTGTTAATATTGTCCTTTTGCCAAATTAATTCTCAGACCCAGATTGAGGTGTTTTTTGTTTGTTTTGTTTTATTTTGTTTGTACCAGGGATTGAACCAAGGGATGCTCAACCACTGAGCAACATCCCCAGTTCTTTTCATTTTTTATTTTGAGACAGGATCTGGCTAAGTTGCCTAGGGCCTCGCCAAATTGCTGAGGCTAGCCTGGAACTTACATCCTCCTCCCTCAGTCTCCCCAGCTGCTTGGATTACAGGTGCACCACCATGCCGGCTTTTTTCACCACCCCCTGACATCTTCTGAGGTTCAAGTTTTGCAGTTGCTTAAAACCCCAAGAAAACGTACTGGCCTTTGTCACACTTCTTTGGATACAATAAGTTCTTCGAATTCTCTCAAGAGAATGCCAAGCAAATCCTGTGCTCCTCCCTGAGGAGCCTAGAAGACCTGAGATGCCCTGCCCAGGCTGCGGCCAAAGGTTTGCGGGAATCGGACCGCGGAGGGTTTTGGAGGTCAGCTCGACTGACCCCACCCCACCCCCACTTCATCGGAGCCACCGGGCCCAAGAGAAAGGCTTGGCCAGGGTCGCCACGCAAGACGGTGGCAGAGTCGGGCTCCAACCAGGTCCCCGCACTCACCGTACAGGGACCCCTGCCCCACACCGAGATGGTGTCACTCGCCCTACTCCATCCCTGGAAGGGATTTCCCAGGCCCGGCGCCCTCACCCGCAGCGACCCTGGCCCTGCTGGCCGGAAGTCCTGGGTGGGCCCTGCAGACGCGCGCACGGCGGCACCAGGAGTCCTCTCGCGGCCACGCCGCCGCCTGGCGGGCCCCGAGCGCACGACAGCACCGGAGTCCGGCGCCCGTCGCCTCCCCTCCGGGGGCGGAGTCGCTGCCACGCCGGGTCCCGGTCGGCGCCTCTGGCCCCCGCTAACCTCCTCAGGGCGAGCCGCGGGGCGGGGTGGCGGGTCCGGCCGCCCGGGGACGCTGCCCGCCGCGGGGCTGGAGAGGGCCGCGGGGCGCAAGGCTCCCGGCTCCTGCGGCCGCTGATGGGAGGCGGCGCACCCGCGGGCGAACGACGGCGCCGCAGCCACCATGGGGAACAAGCAGACCATCTTCACCGAAGAGCAGCTGGACAACTACCAGGTGAGCCCGGCGCGCCCCGGTCCCTGAAGCGGCGCCCTCCGCCCTCCTGTCTTTTCCCGAGACCGCGGGGAAGCCAGTTCTCTGGGGTTCAAATCCTACTCCTGCCTTCAGCGCGCAGCCTGACCTTGGGCTGGTGACTTACCCCTCTCAGAGCCTCAGTTTCCCCGCCTGGGGAACGACAGTGCTTTCCAGGTGGAAATTTGTGTCGGGGACACCTTGCTCCCTTTCCCTTCCTCTCTCCCCCATCCAGCCTTAAGCCTGGGTCCAGGCTGGACCCAAGCCACCCCTCCCAGCGACCACCTGGCACTGAGATGGAGAGTCAGAAAACGTGGGCTGAAAGCCTTGTCAGTCCCCACAGTCCCAAGAAGGGTTGGAAGTGGGGTGTTATAGCCCCAATTGTGGTCTTAAGTTGGGCTGTTTATCTGTTGGAGTCTATCCCTCTGGCCCCAACATGGAAATAACTGGAACAAGAAGGTAAGCCAGGTACCATTCTTACATGGCACTTCTCTAATCTCTGTCAGCACCCCCAACAGCACTCCTTAGATCCTTCTAGGTTCCAGAACCAGCTGTCAGGATCCAGGATCCCACTGCCCTCCCACCCATGTAAAAACTTCTGTGGTTGTAGATGAAGCCCCCACCCCTGACTTGCCAGGATCCCTGGCCAACTGCCCAGCTTACCTCTGCAGCCTCAGTTTCTCCAGGTCCCTTGCCTGCTGACTGCACTGCCACCACCTCAGAACAGTCTACAATCCCCCAACTGGCCATGGTCTTTCCTCCTTCCCTCCTTCCATTTCTTTCTTTTCTGTACAGTTTCCTGGGCCTGAGACACCTGTCTCCAGGTGATCTCTCCCAGCCTTCAAGGCCTTACTCTGATACCTCCCCTGACTCCCCCAGGCAGGACTGACAGGACCCTGTTGTCACCATTGTCTTGGGAGAGAGGAACATAGTAGATACCTGGAGCTTTCATGAATATTTGTGTTGGCATGAAGGAAAGCAAGCTTGAAGTGTGGGTCCTTTGATGTGGGTGGAGGTAAAATAAGTGCCCCTTTGTCTCCTACTTATCAGTAACGCAGATTTCTCAGTTCCTCTTGTGAGGCTCAGGAAGGAAGAGAGGAACTATATTTATGGAGCGCTAGATGTTTATCAAACACTATAGTCAATGCCCTCCACGCATCAACTCACTTGACCATCACAGTGAGGTGGATCATACGCTCCATTTTATAGGAGAGTAAACAGAGGCTAAGGAGCCTTGGACATTCAGGTCTCACTTAGAAATTTGAATAGCAAGCCCAAGGCTGGCTTTCTTCCTTTGGGATGAAGTGGGCTGGACTATGTGCTTTTTTGTCCAGAAGACACTCAAAGTTTAAGTGAGACAGACTTTTACCTCCAGTGTGGCCCTTGTGATAGAGGCAGGTGTGGAGTGTGTTCTAGGGAGGAGCGTTAACAGGCAGGGGAATGCCTGGAGGTAGCTGGCTTTTGCTTTGTCTGCAAGATTTAGAAACAGTGCAGTGCTTGAACAAGCCCTTGGAAGATGGGTGCATTTTACTCAGCAGTGCATGGAAGGAGACATTCCAGGTGGAGGTGGCAGTTTGAATAAAAGCTTAGAGGTAGGCATGGGCAAGCAGCCCATACCCAGAAACAAAGAATGGTCTGGGGCGGGGGTAGGGAGCCTGGGTTCCCACTCAGACCAGCCTATTGGGTTACCCATCAGAGCCAGTCCCAGTGTTGGGTTCTGATCCTTTGCCAGGCCTGGCTAGACCCTGCCAGGCGGGTGGGAGAAATGAGAGACATGAAATCTGAGAGGCCCACATCTCCTTCCCTCTGGCTGTCCAAAATGGCCAGCCAGTACTGGATGGGGTGACCCTGAGTTATAGCTACCTCTGCCCCAAGTGATCACCAGGTTTCTTGGGACTTCCAGCCTGACAGTCTTCTCTTCCTAAGGAAGGGTGCCTTCTTCCTAGTTCCCAGGTGTCATTGGTTCCCAAAGTTTAAGCTTCTGTCTAAGTCACTCTGAATTGTAAATCTATTCCCCAGAACCTTCAAACTCTCAAACAGGCCTCACTACCTTTCCCAGAACCCACCACTGCTCTTCCAGCCATTCCAACTCTCCATTTTCCTTTAGCCCCCATTTTCAGTTAAAAACAAGTCTCTTTTGTGTCTCATCTGGGTACCTCTCCTTTAACCCCAGGGCCCGGCCCTGGTCCAGACCTCCTCAGTCTCCTGGGAATGAGAGGTCTAACTGCTCCTTCCTCACCCCTCTTGTCTGCTCCCTCCACCCCAGCCACTCACTTGCTTTTGCCACAGTTCCTTGGTTCTCTCACTCTTTCTCCCTCTTCCTTCTTTCCCCTTCTATCTCATCTCTTCTGTTCTGTTCTCTCTCTTCCCTTTTCCTTTCAGTGGACACTGTATATCATCATTGTAAAACAAATTTTTTCTATGAAAATAATCCATGAACAAAGAGTTGCATTGACTGCACTGGCCAGTCCCCTCTTGCTGTAGAAGACCCTAGGGAACCATTTATGGACTATGGACTCGGTGCAACAATGCAGAGACAAAGAACAGGAGGGATCTTCTTAAAATTCAGGTCCCAGTGCTGCTGCTGATCCAGGCACCCCATCTTAAGGACCATTGATGTAGAGAGATGTAATAATCATGATAAGGGCCCAGGTTTATATGGGAAGCTTTTGCATCTTTGCCAGTAGAACCCTTGGGTCAGGACCTGAATACTTTCTTTCTAACCCAGGGCCAATGAGAGAGGGGAGGGGAGGAGGGAGCAGACAGATCAGAAGAGAGGAGATCAGGAACCAGGACCTCTTCGTTCCAGGTCTGCCAACAACCTCCTCCTGGCTAGTTAGCAGAGTCTTGGCCCTTGTGACTGACACCTTCCAACCTCAGAACCAGCCTGCAGCAGAGGGTCATCTGTACCTGGAAGGCTCAGTCAGGCTGCCTGAACCAGGTCTCCAGGGTATCAGCCCACATGGTTCCCAGCCTCTCTGAGTCTTAGACCTGCCAGGCAGGTTTTTTCTGCCTGCTGGGTGGAAGGTAGAGCCACCCAACCTGAGCCTTTCGTGGCTCTCTCAGAGGAGCCATTGCCAAAAGCAAAGCCAAGTCCCCCCAGGAGCAGCACCTACATTTCCAAGAAGGGCAAGGCAGCATAGAGTCCTTCATCTAACTCCCAGAGAGCTGCAGGTTGCTCAGAAGGACAGATTTATTGGGCTTCATGGGACCCGGACATTCTTACCAACTATCCCCAGCTGAAGGTGCCCAATGGAGCCCTCCCTGTTGTGGGCATCCTATGGGCATCATTCTTGGCCTGCCTCAACATGCAATCCAATTGACCTGATGTCCAGAGGTTTCAGGTCTTATCCAGGCCAGCCTGGCTGTCTGCAAGCCTGGGCTGCAGCCATTCACCCTGCATCAGAGCAGCTCTGCTCAGCATATGGCCCCAGGAGGCCCTTCAGGCTCTGGGCTCTGCAGAGCCTAAGACGCCTTCTTCCTTCATATTGCAACAGTGGACAAAGACAGAGGAGCCCAACAGCGGAGGATACACATAAAAGGCCTTCTCCGTTGACTGTTTTAGGAAGTGCTGGATCCTTTTTACCTCTTTGCTTCCCTCCAAAGCCTGGCATAAAAAACACCATCAAAGGGCTGTGGCTGGGGCTCAGTAGTAGAGTGCTTACCTAGCATGTGTGAGGCACTGGGTTCGATTCTCAGCACTGCATACAAATAAATAAAAAATAAAGGTCCATTGACAAATAAATAAATAAATAGACACCATCAAAGATGCCAGTGGTTTTTACCCACTATAGGCAGACCAGGCCACCAGGTAAGTCCTAGGAGGTTATAATCTGTATGACCTCAGGAGCTGAGTGCTGCCCATTCTGGGTAACCCACCTGAGCCTCCTTAGCAGCCTCCACCCTTTCTTTTGTCCAGATGCTTCCAAGGCTCCCTGACCACCCTCCTCCTCCATAGCCTCTTTCCCCAGCCTCCATCCCTCCTCTTTTCCCACTGTGTGACCTTACCCATTTCTGTGGCTTCAGACACTGGATATATACTGTTGCTTCCTCTGTCCACACTCCTGGAACTTACTGTCTCCCAACATAGGGCTACTTCCCATGACCATCCAGAATGCACAATGTACCTTGCACACTTCCATGAGGCCCCATCCTCAGGACCTGAACTAGTGTAATGTGGTGGCCATGTGGATCCTCAGTGGAGGTCAGAATTTTGTGTCCCAGCCACCTTCCCGTTCTCTCACAGTTTATTCCACTGGTCTTTAAGACAACCTTGTTCACCTGTGAACTCCAGCTCCTTCTTTACTGTGCACCCCCAAGCATGTCTCACAGCCCCACTCCACCCATGCTTTGGCTTCCCAGGCCAGTGGGCAGATGTGGGAGGGGAAATAGAGTCTCTTTTGCCCCCAGCACAGGGCTGTGTGGTGAGGACCTGTGGCTCAAGGGCTCTGAGAAAGGAAGGAGCCTTGGGCCGCACAGCCCACTGTGTGTGTATGTTTTCCCTCCACAGGACTGCACCTTCTTCAATAAGAAGGACATTCTCAAGTAAGTGTGGCTTCTTGTCCACCCTTTTGGGGCTGGGGCTGCAGCAGGGGTGGGGCCGGGGACCCCATGTGGGCTGACTGTAGAAGCTGGAGCTGAGAAAGAGCATTGGAATGCATTTGAGGCCTTAGCTATACCCAGCGCCTGCCTTGTGGACTCAAGAACTTCCCACTGCTCCCAAGGCCCTGATCCTCCTGCCAGGAATGGAGGGAGCATCTACTCATTACATGCTGGGGTGGGGGGTTTCAGGTACATTTTCATTTAATTTTCACTGTGACTTTATAATAAGAAGATTCTGTTATCCCCTTTTAAAGATGGGACTCGCAACTTGGCCCAAGTTACATAGCCAGGGATTGGAGACCTGGCTTCTGACTTCAGGTCCCTTGCTGTGTCCCTGCATCTTGGGGCCTATTACCACAGGTATCCCCTGTTAGGGCTCTCTAGTTCCAGCTTTGATGTCCTTTGACTCCTGGGATGTCCAGAAACCAGGGATCTCCTTCCTTCCCTGTCCTTGCAGGTTGTGGGGTGGTCCTGGACAGGAAAATGAAGGGGCTTGGTAGTCTCAGAGCCCCAGGACCAGACAGTGGAATCACAGAATGCCAGGAAACCTGCTCCATAGCCCTGGCTGGGCTCCTTTGCTCAGGCTATCAGGTGGCATTAAAAGCCAGAGAAGTCTCAGGATCACTTTCCTTGGAGATCGATGGACAGGCTGGGGCTGGAGTTTGGTGCAGCTTCTCAAGATAGCTGTTCTGTAGTTTGCCACTGCCCTAACCACTCTACCACTCTGCTTGGACAGGCAGTGCTCCTCTCTTCCCAGGCTGCCATTTCAACTTGTCCCCTGAGAGGGGTGAGGTGTACCCCACTTCCATCCCCTCAGAGAGATAGGGCTCTCCTTCCACTTCCCAGCTCCATGGCTTCAAGTCAGGTTTGACCCTGCCTGAGCCTCAGCTGCTTCTGGGAAATGGGATGACAGTACTGCTGTCAAGAGGCAGTAACCCCAGCGTGGTATCTGATAACTGGGATTTGGCCAGAGCTTGAGTGTTGTGAGGGTGAGGACCCCATTGGGACAAGATGGCTCTCAGAATGTAATCTTGCAGCAGTTGCTCCTAGTGATCTGGTGGCATCTCTGACCTTTCAGAGTTTCGACACAAAGCTTCATTTAAGCCTTGCCACATTTGTCCTCTGCTGTGAGGAGCTCCCAACTTCCATTTTGTAGATGCCAGACCCAGACTGCTTTTCCTTTAGGTCCACAACCATTTCCATTCTGGCCACCAAAGCCCCTTCCCCCCAAGTCTTTGTGCTGACCATCTCTACTGCCCAGGGTGCCCTTTCTCATGCCATACTTCCGTCCACACCCAGCTTCAGTCACTCCCTTCTCCGGGGAGCCTCCCAACTCCCTGCCAGCCCAGTGATCACACAGAGTTCTTACAACTTAATGGTGCTCTGTGGGTTTGTGGGCTGATGCCAGCTTCCCTTGGACTTGTTGTCAAGTAAGACTTGGGTCTCTCAGGCTGCTCCTGGGATTTCCCCTGTAAATCACTGGTGAGGACTGGAAGAGTGTGAGGGTGAAGGACGACTGGCCATGGAGATGGATCCAGCCTGAGGAGCAGCCGTCACAAGGAAGCAGGCCTGCGGGCCGATCCTTGCCTTTCCTCCAGTGGTTTTACTGAGAGCAGCAAGGTTGCCCCTGGGGGGACGAGGGAAGAGTGGCTCAAGGTTAGGAGTGGGAGTCAATATGACAGACCTCTGGGGGTGTTCCTGGCCTCTTTGCAAATGAGGGACTCCAGGCAGTGAGAGTGCTTAGGGAGGACTGTCCTGGCTCTCTGCAGTCTCATCTGCCCACCTCTGCACCCTTTGGTACCCAGCCTTTATAATTCAACAGCAGAGTAAAGGCCACAGCTAAGGTCCCAAAAGCAGTGAAGGACCTCTCCACACACCTGGACACACCCACCCCACTGCTTTGTCACTGGTGTATTCAAGCCCAGACTCTGTGTTACTAATCATTGGGGACCCAAGGGAGTAGACCCAGTGTTTTTCCTATGAAGTGATCATGTGGGGAAGGGGAGGGACGAAGCCTGGCATCTGGTCCCTCCTATGTGGCACCTTATGTGTCTCCTTGCCACGTCTTCAGGGTAGGGACAGCAGTGTTTGCTGGGGCTATTTTCTTGGAGGGCCATGTCAATGGTATTTTAAAGACAACTAAGAGCTACTTGGAGTTCTGTTGCCCACCTGTGTACCTTCAGGGAAGGGCCGTGAGATAAGGCAGGAGGTGGGATTACCTGTCCCTGGAGGAACCAGGCATGGCCACTTTGGTTCCTTTTTAGTATCAGCTTCTTTACTCTTCTCCAGCCTTCTCTCTGGGTACTAGTAGAGGCCAGTGTGACTGATCCCTATCCACCCAGGGAAGCACCCCCCCCCCCTACTGTTTACATCTCAAGTCCAGGTAGCTCAACTAAGACCTGGAGCCCAGAGAGGGCAAGGAGCAAAGACCTGCCCAGCAATGCACAGCAGGGCAGCAGCAGGGCCAGACTGACCAGGCCCAGCCTCTGCTAGTCTGCCCTCCTCCCAAGACCTCAGTGCAGCCACCCTGCCCCCACCCGGATGGTTTTCTTGGTAAGCTGCACCCTGAGTACTGACCAGATGGCGAGGATGAAACCTGAGCAGGAGGCTCTTTGCAGCTTGGGGCCTAGCTTTCTGGCATCCTTGGGTCAGTGACATGGAGTCACAGATAACCATAGAGCTGATTCTCTCTCTATTCCCTCCACCCCTACCCTGGTAGATCCAATTGCTCCCCAGGACACAGCTCTTCTACCTGCTCTCTGAGCCCAAATGGGCAGCCCACCCCATTGGGCCACCTGTCCCTTCAGCCTCCTTGCTGTCTGTGGATCAGATGCTTGAAGCTTCAACTGTGGCGTCCCCCGTTACACTGTGCATGAGTGGCTTAGGAGTCCTTGTCCCCTGGGTACAGAGAAAGGCTCACCAAGTTAGTAACCCCAGATGTTCATCTTGTTGTTACTTTACTGTTTATTTTCTCAGCCTTTAAAAAACTTTGTGTAATCTATTTTTAGTTACTTTTAATTTTTTGTTGCACATGTAATATAAATTACTGTAAAAAAATTAGAATATAATTTCTAGTATGAGCAAGGCCATGGGTTTGATCCCCAGGAAGTAACACACACACACACACACACAGAGAGAGAGAGAGAGAGAGAAAAGAAAAAGGAAAATTAGTCAACAGAAGACAAAAAATGTACCTTATAATCCTACCCCCCCCATGAAATAATGACTGCTAATATTTTGTTTTAAGTTTATCTTTTATTTTCTTTTTTGTTTATCAAAAAGTCAAACAATGTTGTTTTGTAATATGCTTAAAATTGGGTTTTTTTTTAGACAAATTGTAAGAATTTACAAGAGAACTATGGAAAGTATATGGTAGATCTGAAAAAAAATTAAAAATAGAATTTCCATACAATCCAGCAATTCAATTTATGGTATATAATCAAAAGAATTGAAGACAAGTTTGTACTCTCATGTTCTTAGAGCATTATTCACAGTAGCCAAAAGGTGGCAGCAACCCAAGTGCCCCTCAGCAGATGAATGGCTGAACAAAGCACAGTATACACGGGAAAAGAATATTATTCAGCCTTAAAACAGAGGCATTGGGACACATGCAATACTAGATAGACCTTGAGAACATTATGCTACATGAAGTAAGCCAGTCACAAAAAGATGTACCGTATGATTCCACCTTTGCGAGGGACCCAGAATAGTCAAATTCAAAGAGACACACAGTTGAAGGGTGGTTGCCAGGGGCTGGGAAGAGGGGGAAGTGGGGAGTTAACTGTTTCATGGGTGTAGAGTTTCAGTTTTGCAAGATGAAGAAAGTTCTGGAGATGGGTGGTGGTAATGTTTGCCTGACAGTGTAAATGTCCTTAATACCATGAAGTGTACACTTAAAAATGGGCGAGGTAGTCAATTTTATGTGCATTTTATTACCATTAAAAGTAAGTTTAGGGGGCTGGGGCTGGGGCTCAGTGGCTGAGTGCTCACCTCGCATACGTGAGGCACTGGGTTCAATCCTCAGCACCACACACAAAAATAAATAAATAAAACAAAGATATTGTGTCCATCTATAACTAAAAAAAATTTTAAAAAATAATTTTAGTAGTTAAGATGGTAAATTTTGCTATTTTAGAACTATTTTTAAAAAACTAAAAATAGCTAATAAAAAATAAAACAATATATCTGTCCCCACCCTCGCCACCCAAGATAACCACTACTAACATTTTAGTAAACAACCTTCTTTTCTGTCTTTCTTTTTTTTATACAAGCTTTTAAAAAATTATTAAATGGACTCCTACTGTACATTCTACTTTTTTCAGTTTACATTGTGTGAGCAACTTTTTTGGACTTTGGTGCTGGGGATGGAACCAAGGGCCTCTTCCTGGTAAGCGTGTGCTCTGCCACAGCAACACCCCCAACCAACTTTCAAGATCATTAGGTATTCTTCTAGAACATTTTAAATAGCTGTGTTTACTGAGTGTCCCTTAATTGATTTAGCGGACATCCAGGTGACCAAGTTTTCACCATTTTAATTAGTACTGTGGTGACTATCTCTGAGGCACCTTCACATAACTGCATATTGGGGATTATTTCCTTAAAATACAGATTTCAGGATCAAAGTAGAATTTTAAGACTTTTGAATTTTGCCCACACTATCGTTACAGGTCTTTTTGTCTTCTGACTTGAGTCTGAAACACAGCTGCCTGCGGGCCAGCATGCACTGTAAATATATGAAGCTGCCCAGTCTGGGGCTCATTAAAATTAGCAGCTGCAGAAACAGTTGCTCCTCAGTCCCAGCATAATTAGCAAATCCAGATGCATAATTTAAAGTCTTTTAATTTGTACATGTTGGCAACAAAATTCTAAATTTTAATTCAGCTTTTAATTTAATTACTTTATAGTACTGTGTGAAAGTAAAACACAACATCATTAGAGTATTGCCTTTCTTTCTTTCTTTCTTTCTTTTTAAGTACCAGGGATTGAACCCAGGGCCTTTGCCTATGGTAGGCAAGTGCTTTACCACAGAGCTATATCCCTAGCTCCTGGTATTAACTCTTTCTTATTAGGAATATACACTAATTATCTTAACTACCTAAAATATTATACCCCTTGATAAAGTTTCATGTTTTTAGTATTCATTTCATATTAATTTTATACTTAGCTGGTTTTGTTTTATTGCTTCTTTAAAATTGTGAATTAGTGTTTTTGTTTGTTTATTTATTTTTAGCAGTACCCAGGATCAAACCCAGGGTCTCACCCTTGCTAGGCAAGCACATTGCTACTGAGCTACATCCCCAGCCACTGAATTAGGTCTTTCTAATCAATTTTTATTAGGCTAATGTTGATATATAGGAAAGTTTTACATAGAAAATCTTCTAAGCTCTAATTAAAATATAATTTTTTTTTGTTTTCCAACAAGTAATGATGATTTACCTCCTTCTTTCCAACATTTATATGTACTCTTTTATTGTTTTAACTAATTATATTAACTAGCACTCCAGAGGGAACATGTTATATAATAATGGTGATTATAGGCATCCCACATTTATGGGTTTATTTTCAGTATTTTAAGTATGATTTTTGTTTTTTGTTGGGGGAATTGGGGATTGCACTCAGGGTCACTTTGTCCTCTGAGCCATATCCCCAGCCCTATTTTGTATTTTATTTAGAGACAAGGTCTCACTGAGTTGCTTAGTGCCTCACTTTTGCAGAGGCTGGCTTTGAACTTGCAGAGGCTAGTTTTGAACTCACTGTTCTCCTGCCTCGGCTTCCCAAGCCCCTGGGATTACAGGTGTGTGCCACCACACCTGGCTGGCTAAATATGATGTTTGATGTTGATTTACAATGAAGATGTCCTTTTAGTTCTGCTTCTAAGCAGAAACTTCTTTGTTTCTGTTTTACTAAGAATTTTAAGATTCTGTTGACAAAAAAATAAAAAATAAAAAATCCACATGCTTTTAACATTTTTAATTTTTATTAAAAAATACTTTTAAAAATTTAAAAACTTTGCAACTGAGGCTGCAGCTCAGTGGCAGAGCACATACTTAGCATGCATAATGCCTTGATTTCCACCCCCACCACCAAGAAAAAAAAATTAAATATAGATTAAGCAATAAGTCAGCTTTCCTCTAACTACACTTCTCCACTTCCACCTCATGGGGATCTCAGTGTGAACATGTGGTGTGTACAACCACACAGTCATAAATGCATCTGTCAAATTGATCAAAATTTTTGTCTATTAATATCATTTATAGTCAAAGATTTCCATGCATTGAACCATGCTTGCATTCTGGAATAAATCCCACCTGGTCCCAGTGTATTATTCTCTTAAAAACTGCTGGACTTGATTTACCGGTATGTTATTTTAAAAAGAGTTTTGCATCTGCACATGCAAGTGCCCTCGATTCATTCTGGATGCTACTCACTGAGTTTTGGTATCAGGGTTCTTATTGATTCTTTAATATAAACTTGGAGGCCTTCACATTTTGCCTTATGCTCTGGAGCAATTCAAGTAACACAAATATTATTTCTGGTCCTAGATGTATGATAAGAGAAATATATAAATCATCTTGAACTCAGTACCCTTTATTGGGGAAATGGTGACAATGTTTAGATTATCTTCCAGAGTGATTTAGGATTTCAAATTCTTCTTAGGTTTACCTTAAGGAAAAAAATTCTAACATTATTCATCATTTTAGGACAGATCTTTGTACTAGAGCAGAAGCTGGCTTCCCACCCTAACAGAACCTCCTCAACCCTGGAGAAGCATTCTCAGCCCCTCTCCCAAACCCTCTCCTTCCAGGAAGCCCCACACATGTCAGGCAACATGCTAATAGCTACAGTTGAGAGCCAGGATGGTTGTTTGTTTGTTTGTACTAGGGATTGAAGCCAGGGGTGCTTAACAAGCCTTTTTAAATTTTTGAGACAGAGTCTCACTAAGTTGCAGAGGGCCTTGCTAAGTTACTGAAGCTGGCTTCGAACTTGGCAATCCTCATGCCTCAGCCTTCCAAGTCACTGGTATTACAGGTGTGTGCCACCATCACTCAGCAAGAGCCAGGTGGTTTTATGAGTATCATCCTGTTTAGTTCTCACAAGTGTGACAATAGCAGGGTGGCCCCCATTTCTGAAAGAGAAATTTCTTTTTCTTTTTCTTTTTTAATTTGTTTTAATTAGTTACACATGACAGTACAATGACCATTTATTTTTCAAAGGTTACTCCACTTACCCAAAGCCACTCTGCTAGTGAGAGAGTGTTTCCAACCTCAGCCTGACCTGAGGCTCCTGCTGCAGCCTGACATGAGGCTTTAAGCCAGCCTTCACATTTTACCTTAGGCTCTGGAGCAATTCAAGTAGCACAAATATTATTTCTGGTCCTAGATGTATAAGACAAATACATAAATCATCTTGAACTCAGTACCCTTTATTGGGGGAATGGTGATTTAATGGAGATTTAAGCCAGCCCCCAGAAATAGCCGAGCATCATACTCCTGCACATATACTGTGTTTAGGTGTCAAAGTCAAGTGGGAAATATAAAAATTGGAAACACAATGGATCTGTCGATATATGGATTGCAAAACAATTTGTGGTTGTAGGGTTTGGGGACTGTTTTTCTCAGTGCAGGAAATAGAAGCAAAGAAAGTCCTTGAGCACCCTCTTATGGAAAATCCCCACTTGGTCCTGCCACCCTGGTTTTTGTTGACTCCCTCACACCTAAGGGATAAATTCTCGGGCCTTACCCACCTCTAGCTTCCTCCAAGCCATGGAGCTTCTTTGTGAATTCAGGCCCTTTTAAGAGGATGGGAAGTGGGCTTGTGGCATTTTGCTTTTCGTTTGCCCTGGACAGTCTCTGAACCAGGTGTTGATGACATACTGCTTGCCAGAGTGGCTTGACTTGCAGGGGAAACATGGAGATCCAGGTTCAAGTCTCATCCCCACTTCTCACTGGTTGTTTAAGTAGGGAATAGGCATTTAACCCTTGAGCCTTAGTTATCCCACCTGAAAAATAGGAGGCTAATAATCTACCTCTCAGGATGGTTTGGGAATTAAAATAAGAAAAATAACTCTCACGGCCTGGCACAAGTCAGCACTGGGAGCTGAGTTCCTTTTGTGTGTGAGCTGGGGCAGTAATTAAATGCTCTGCTCAACACCAAGAATTGGATGGATCCCAGTGAGGTTCAGGTGGCTGTGTTGAAGGATTTGCTAAGAGAGGTTCTGAGTTGGGCCACTTAGAAGACCTAGGCTGACCCAGACTTTGAGGTGGTTGGACAGCCCAGGCCCAGGTGATATGGGGCCATACCTGATCTAATCCCAGTAGCCTGGGGTCTCACCTTGTACAGTTTACCTACCACAACCCCTAGAGGATCACTTGTTTTCCCCAATCTCCAGCAGCACTTCATTGAAACAATTCTTATGAATGCAATTTTACCAGCCTTGGGATGGAGGCTATTCTCTGGAATGGCAGGGACCTGGACCAAGGGACATAAGGCAAAGGAGGCCTGGATAATGGGGACCTTCTAAGTGAGATGGTGTCAGGATGCTTCTCATCCCCAAGGGTCCATGCAGCATGCTGAAGTGGTCTTGTGTTCCTGAGTCCAGGGCAGGAGATGGGATGGGAGCCTGCAAACTGAGCCATCAGTGAGGAGGGATGGACCCAGGGCAATGGGCTTGGTTCTGATGGCTCCCTGCTCTAGGCAAGTTGCAGGTGGCCCATTCACAGGGGCTTCCTGAGGATGTAAGGGCTGCTGGAGCTCTTCAGAGACCAACCCTGAGGGCCCATGTTGGGGAAGAGGGAACTGGGCCTTGGTTTTGCAGACCCGCAGGAGTGGCAGAAAGAAGAGTGGTTAAGAATTTCTACTCTGGATTTCCAGTTCTGGATTTGTTCCCTGGCCTTCTACATGTCCTAGTTGTGTGGTCTTAGACAGATCACTCTTATCCTCAGCTTCATTTGCTGAGCTATAAAATGAGGTCACAATGCATCTTTCTGCCCAATGATAAGGAGGATATCAAGTAAGGTGACATGTCAAGTGCTTAGCATATTGTGTGAAGCACAGAAGACTCTTAAGAGTCCAAAGGGGTACAGGTCCCAGGGATGAGGGTGATGGTGATGGTGGTGTGTAGTGGAAACGGGAAGAGTCTGGACACAGTCTGATTGTCAACACGGGGGTTCAGGCAGAATCTTCTTCCCTCCCAAGCTTCACAGTCTTGTGGGCAGAGCTGAGGTAGGTTTTCTGGGGCAGAGGCCCACACACAGCAGCATTGGTCCACTGGAGGATCAGGGTGGCACCCCCTCCAGTGCTTTTCCTCTGTTTCCCTCAAAGGCTTCATGCACGGTTCTACGAACTGGCCCCCAACCTTGTTCCGATGGACTACAGGAAGAGCCCCATTGTCCATGTGCCTATGAGCCTCATCATCCAGATGCCAGAGCTCCGGGTATGTAAGAGGCCTCCCCAGTTGGGCTGTGGGGATGGGGAATCTGAACCTCTGGATGGGCAGCAGAGGCACCCAGCTCTGGGTGAATCCTTGCTGCACTCTTTGTGGCTCTGTGGCTCTGAGCTGACCACTGAACCTCTCTGGGCCTCAGTTTTCTCATCTGCACTCTTATGAATAAATGTGGGGAATCAATAGGGTTGCTGTGGATCAGTGGCTGCCCTGCTGCTCAGCCTTTGGCCTGTGCCCACCTGCCTGCCCCTTCATGAAGTGGCCTCTGTACTTGACAGATGTTATATCTGCCCTTTTAGACAATTTTTCTGTCTCTGCTTTGTCTGGCTGTGGCTTCTTGCAAGGTCAGCGTGGGCATCCATGGCTCACTTCTCAGAATTGAACATAGCACAAATCACCTGAAAATCTTTTCAGAATGCTGATTCAGGTTCAGTGCATCTGGGGTAAGTCAACATTTTATTTTCTCACTAGCTCCTGGGTGAGGCTGGTCCTCAAACCTCCCATACATTTGAATGGTTCATTTCATGAGTTCCTCACCCAGAATATGTAAAGTGTATTCCAACATTAAGGAAACATTTGGGAGCTGGGTGTGTTGGCACACTGCAGTAAGTCAGAAACTCAGGAGGCTGAGGCAGGAGGATTGCAAGTTTAAGGCTTGCCTGAGAAACTTAGTGAGACTCTGTCTCAAAATAAAAATAAAAAAGGCCAGGATGTAGCTCAGAGTTAGAGCACCTCTGAGTTTGATCCCCAGTTCCAAAGGTGGGGAGAAATATATCTGGGTTCAACTCCACATGCCATGGTGCTTTGCAGATGACCCCTCTCCTAGGACGTGGGGCCACAGCATTACCCAGCATCCTCATGGGATTGCACCTGGCTGACTGGAGTCATGAGAGACAATGAGCCCAAGCCTTGCCTCTGGACAAGCACCAGCCTGGCCTAAAGAGGAGTGGGAGACCAGGCTCAAAGGGTCATGGAGAGCATAAGGCACTCATGGGCAGAAACCATGTGCTCTGTGTCTGAGCTTTGGGCTGGGCACTGAGTGGGGCTGGCCAAGTGCTAGCCCAGTTGTGATGGAAGGAACCCAGGAGTGTGGGACTCTGCACGATTTGGTATTAGAGAAAGGAGTCAGTGTACAGCCCCCGGGGGAGGCAGTACTGGGGGTGGTCTGGGTGAATTGGTTGCAGGCCTAGTATTTGAGCCATCTCTGTGACTCCCACAGCATGTCCTGTCATCCAACCCTTTGGGGCTCCACTTCTGGCTCCCACCATCCTGGCTTGACATGACCTGAGCTGCCCATGCCAGGGAATGTCTTCTCTTGCCAAGGACAGAACCCTATCCATCAAGGCAGAAGCCTCTGTGAGCTGCCCTGGGAAATGACACAAGGCCCTGCTTCTGCCTCCCATGAGTGCACAGAGGCTCTGCTGAGCTGGAGAGCTTGTTTAGTTATATGATGTGACTGATGGAATGCTTCTATGCTGGGCCTTACATACTTTAACTTCTTGAATCCTCTAGCAACTCTTTGGAATAGGTGCTATTACTGTTCCCATTTTGCAGATGGGGAAATGGAGGCTCAGAGGCTTATTTAAGGCCACGCTGCCTGTCAGCAGTCTGCTGATTGCTGTGATTATTTTCCTCAGGAGAATCCCTTCAAGGAAAGGATCGTGGAGGCTTTTTCTGAGGATGGCGAAGGGAACCTCACCTTTAATGACTTTGTGGACATGTTTTCCGTGCTCTGCGAGTCAGCTCCCCGAGAGCTCAAGGCAAACTATGCCTTCAAGATCTATGGTAAGAAGGGTCTGGAGGCAGGGAAGTGGTATTCAGGGCCATCTGGCCATCCAGTTACTGCTGGCTCCCACCATGGGAGACACCAAGAACAACAAGGCTGACCTCTAAAGAGTGCTGGTCCAGGGCTGGGGTTGTGGCTCAGCGGTAGAGCACTCGCCTCGCACGTGTGAGACCCTGGGTTCGATCCTCAGCACCACATAAAAATAAATAAGTGAAATAAAGGTATTGTGTCCAACTACAACTAAGAAAAAAAATGTATGTGTATATATATGTGTGTGTGTGTGTGTGTGTGTGTGTGTGTGTGTGTGTGTGTTTTTAAAGCGTGCTGGTCCAGCATGGGGGCAGTGAGGGACACATTCTGCCTGAGAGCCATCCTCAGGGGTCCTAAGAGCAGAGGAGGAAGAGACTTGCCCACCATGGGTTGGGGTTAGTGTGAGGAGGGAGTCACATGTGATGTCATTTAATCAGGGCCTGGAGGATTTGAGATTTGTCCACTGGACACATTGGAGTGGTCAGCCCTGGCAGAAGGGGCAGCCTATAAGGACTCAGAGAAACAGGAAGGCACAGGACTCAATAAGATAAAAGAGGTTGGGGACATGATGGGGCTTGTGGCAATGTGGGTCTGGAGAGGTAAACTGGGGCCAGGTTATAAGGAGCCATCTTGAGAGTTTGGGTCTAATGCTCAGGGCACCGGGCACTGCAGGGTGTCCAGGGGAAGGGAAGCTGCGTTTTGAAAGATCTCTCAGAAACTTTGGGGTGTGAACAGGAGCCAGACTGAATCTGGGGCCCAGAGATGAGGTGTGGGCCCGTGGTGGGAAGGCTGAGCCGCAAGAGAGGCCCCCAATGTGCCAAGGGTAAGGAGGCTCTTCATTTCACCCTAGCACAGCACAGCCCTCTGCCCCGTTGTCTCACTGGCCACCAGAGGGCACTGAGCACTCAGGAGTCTCAAAAGGATACAACTTCACATAGCTTACATTGCTGTGTCAGAGGCAATGAGCCCAACAGGCCCAAGGGCATTGGTGTCAAATCCTCAGACTATCCTTAGATGGGGGACATTGAAGTCCAAGGAGGGGCTAGAACCTTTCCTAGACCAGAGAAGCCAATGACAAATTTGTCCTTGGTATTTTGAGCAGCTGGTGGATTCTAATGCAATGGGACCCATTAGGGGATGTCTTCATTTTGTCATTGTCATGTTTATTTCAAAGGATTTTGGTTTAGATATATCTGTGCACTCACATTGTGTTTGCATATGAGAAAGATAGTACCTGCTTGTCTACCCTCCACAAACTGTGGCTTCATGGTTCATGTATGAACCATATAAAATGCTTCCCAAATTCCACCCATCATCCCTCCAAACTTAGACCCCAACATGTTGTTTCTGGGAAAGGTTATTATCCACCAAAGACGGGGAAGAGCACACAAAGGCTTGTTTCCTTTCATAAAATGGGCAGAGGAATCCAGCCAGCCAGCAAGTCTTTCCAGAGAACTGCCTGCGTGTCCCTCCAACGGCAAAAATGAATCCCACGTGTGCCTGCTCTGGAGGCCATCACAAGCAAGTGCGGAGGTGGACAGTACAGGGTACTCCCAAGGGCTTTAGGCTCTAGTACCAGCACCGGCCGGGGACCTCAGACAGGTCTCATCCGATCCAACTCTGTTTCCTCATCTATAGAGTGAGAATTCTAGGTTTACCTATCTAGTAGGTATCATTTAAAAACTAAATGAGGAAAAGCATGCTGTGCTCATATTGCAGTTATTCTCTTCCTCACTACCATTAATGTCAGTTAGCTTAGTAGGCTAATCTGCAATTGTGTCAGGAGGAGCTCAGTGAAGGGGACCCTTATGTCTAGAAAGCCCCTCTTAGGGGGAGGGGAATTTAGGGAAACTTCCCCCAGGTGTTTGCTGGGCAAGGCATCCCAGGCAGGAGAAACCGCAGGTGCAAAGATCTGGCAGTTGGGCTGAGAATGGTGAGGAGGGGTGGAGTTCATCACCATGATGATCCTTTGTGTAGCTCATTCCTTGAATCATTTTGCTGTTTGGGGCAGTGGTAGTGCCTTTTTTTTTTTCAGTACAATCAAACCATGCTCCCTGCTCTGTGCATATGAAGGCCAGCCAATAGCCTCTGAGGGGCTTCTGCATCTCCTGACTTGGTGTGTGTGTGTGTGTGTGTGTTTAATGGACAGGTGAAATTGTATGTGTTTATCATGTACAACATGATGTGTGACTACATGTTTGACTTGAAGCCTGCCTTAGGCAATGTGGTCCCATTTAAAAAGCAGAGGTCTTAAAGTCATATAGGCCCCAGTCAGAATCTCTGTTCCATCTCTGACTGTCTCTGTGATCTTAAGTCGGTCACTTGGCCTTCTTGAGCTTTGATTTCCTCAGCTCTAGAAGCCCACAGGGGGTAAGGCCAGAAGGGACATTTGGCCTTAGCCCAAAGTTCCTGGGGAGCCTCAGATTTGGAACTGTCTCTGACTGGGTTTACATATAGTCATTGTAAGGTTTTGTAGGTACTCTGAATATTAACTTGTTAACTGGATATTTAAGCCATATTTTATGGGTGAGACCCTCTTGCACCCCATCAGCTGGCACAAAGATCCAGTATCCCCAAAGTGTGCCTAGAAATGCTTTGGGGACTTTAGAGGCTTGGAGAGGTCAGTGTGACCAGCAAGGAGGAAGGGGTATTATAGGACCAGACCTGAAGGAACCCACCCCTGGCCTAAACATCTCCAATCCATGCCACCCACCCCACAGACTTCAACACTGACAACTTCATCTGCAAGGAGGACCTGGAGCTGACACTGGCCCGGCTCACCAAGTCAGAGCTGGATGAGGACGAGGTGGTGCTCGTGTGTGACAAAGTCATAGAGGAAGCTGACCTAGATGGCGATGGCAAGCTGGGCTTTGCTGACTTTGAGGACATGATCGCCAAGGCCCCTGATTTCCTCAGGTGCTGTCACCCCAGGGACTGGGCTTGGGGAGGGAAGATCAGAATGTTGGGGCCACATCCAGGAGGACTGGTCTTATGGTACCTCCATGGTTAATGATGTGCAGACCAGGAAGCAATAGGTCATCTTCAAGGCTCAGATCCCCTTCATGTGTGGCTGGCCTTGTTCTTTGAAGGACCAGACTCTCCTGGGAAGGATACAGAACTGGAAGGTCCTTCAGTTATGACGGGTGCTGGAAACCGGGAGGATAGCTGTTGGTTCCTCTGAACCTTCCTTCCCTTGGGGTGATTAATTGTGCCTCTGTGCAGATTACCCTAAGGAACTGGCCAGGGGTGAGCCAGTTCTTTTTTCCTAAGGAGCCTCTACCTGCCCCATCCAGGACCTCTCACCCTCTCCTTTCCTTGCTCTCTTTCCAGCACTTTCCACATCCGGATCTGAGGACACTGCCAAGGCTGTAGGACCTGGAAGCTCACCACCCAGCTCTGCTGCCTATACAGGTGTGGCTGCATGCTTCCCAGGAAAGGAATGGCAGCCTCTGGGGTTTACACCCATGAACATTTCCTGTGGCCCTTTCAGCAAAAAAGAAAGAAAGAAAAAACCTTAACGAGAGAAGTGGGTTGTGAGGAGTAGGACCCTTCCCAGGGCTCCCAGTGGTCCAGCCCCAGGACACATAGCCCCTTAGCAGATCCTTCCATCCACCCCTCTCTCCCCATCAGAAATGTCCCTCCTGGGAGGAGACGGAAGAAAACCCAACAGGAAGTGGTGGGGTCTGACTTGACCATGTGCTGGGTTGATACCCCAGTCACCCAGAGCAAATACAAAAAAAGAGAGAGAGAGAGAGAGAGAGAGAGAGAGAGGTCAGGCTTTTAATGAGCTATATAATCTTCTTCCAAAATCCAAGGCTGAGCTGTGCCCCACTCTGGCCTGTTCCTCTTCCCACCACTCCCCAATGTGAAGCTGTGTGAGCGGTGGGTCCAAAGGGCTCTGTCCCTGTCTGTCCCTGAGTTTGAGCACCACCCTATCCAACCTCCCCAATGATGTGGAATCCTCACTGGTGTGTGCTATCCACAGATTTGTGAACTCCTGGTAGTAAAACACTCTGTGTCCCACACACTCGGTGTCTGCCAACATTAGGAAATGTTCAGTGGTACCTATTCTCCTGGTCCTTAAAATCCCACTGAGAGTGCCTTGCCTCACAAGGTTACACACATCTCTTTCGCCTCAGACTCTGACTTTTATTTCAGTGCTATGCCTTCGGGAGGAAGGCATACCACACCTATGCCTCACATTTTCCAGTGAGCCCCACAAAGGACAGAGGAGGATTGTTTCCATTTCACTCATAACAATAATTCTTGCTAACATTTGTGGACTCAGGGCTAGCACCTTTGCTTTCAACTCTTCCTCCCAGAGTAAGGATTCATAGCCCATTTTTCTGAAGGGAAAGTTGCATAGCCAAGTGCCCCTAAGGATAGATCTTCCCTACAAATGTGCACTGAGCCAAGTCTGCCCAGGGTCTGGGGTGGAGAGGAGGGGCCCCTATGATCTTCCATCTGGAGATGGTTAATTCTGGTCTCTGTCTCCTCTGGAGGCAGTGCAGAGGGGGACAGCTAGCCAGGTGCTCACCCTTATAGAGGTGGGGACACATGGGTGAGGAAGGATGTAGGACAAAACAGGAAGGATCTCAGGAACAGCTAGCCTAGCCTGAGGGAATGACCAGAGCAGGAGACCTGAGTGCCCTGTGTCCAGACCTGGTGTCTAGACAAGACTCTGAGGGCTCCTTAGAGACAGGGCCACCAGGTTGTAGCTGGGTCTCATGGGTGGAGTCTAAGATCCACTCAAAAGGTCAGTACTGGCTGAAAGCAAAAGGCAGGTGAGGAGGTGACCTGGCCACACAGGGATGGCTACTAGGTGTCCACTGGGTGATTCCAGATGTCACCCAGCAGTCCATCTCAGGCTGACCTCAAGCTGGACCCTGTCTTAACTAAGAAGTGTCTGCTCAAGCCCTGACCAGCTCTGTGGTGCCAAATGGCCTACTCTTGTCTAGGCCTTAGTTTCTTCATCTGTAGCACAATGAGATTGGACTGGTGCTTCTTAGGATCTGCCTAGCATGCATGGTGAGGCTGGGATCAAAATAGGGGACAGGGAATAGCCAAGGAGCAGTTCTTGGGAGCCTGGCCTGCTCTAGGATCACAGCCATGGCCTAGAGGCTAGGTCTTTGTAGCCACATCCCTGGCTTCTTGTTCTGGTCCCCAGGGAACAGAAGCAGAGGATATGGCTCCTGACCCTCCCCTCCTTCCTACTGATAGGTCCTTGAGAAGGGGAACTGGTTTTGTTCTCAAGAGCAATTGCATGATGTCACTCAGCCTGTTAGGAAAATGTCTTGTCCTGGCCCAGGGCCTGCCACATGTTTGGCAAGTGGGCTCCGTCCATCAGCCCAGGCCTCTACATGTTCACCTAAGAAATAGGGTTGCTGGCCTCTCTCTTTGACCAGTACCCATTCTCTGGCCTTATTCCCTCCTCTGCATGGACCGGAGGCACTGGGAAAACAGGACACAGCCAGCAACTGCAGGTGGCTGGAAAGTCCCTCCCACCTCTTCCCAGGTAGGCATCCCTTCTGTGTCTCTGGGGCACTGGTTGGGCCCAAGGATCCGAGGGCCACCTGCAGGTGAGCTGAGGGCTTCACAGTAATCCCTGGCATAGCCTGGATACTAGGAAACCCACTGGATTCCAGGCCCTCCTCAGAATTTAGCCTTCTTGTCTGCGAAGAACAGCCTCCGGAGCTTGTCAGGCTGCAATAAAGGAGAAGATGCTGGCACCTGGGGTCTCTGAACAGGGGAGGAAAGACCCTGGCTTAGAGACCCATCAGCATTGGCCTGGGGTTGGGGGTCCAAGCCCAGGAAATGGGGCCAGGTTGGAATATTGATAATTGCTCCCACAAGCCTCTCTCAGTGCCTGAAACTCAGTTTGGGCAGAAGGATTCACCTGCCTCTGGTTAAGAAGAGGGAAGAGGAAGGAGTAACCCCCACCCCCCCCAAAAAAAAAGTGGAAAATAAAGCTCAGCTTACTCCCTGAGTGCTCTAACCCCAAGTTCTGCACCTCAGCTAGGGCCCTGACTCTGCATTCGTGAGGCAGAATCGGGGAAGGGTTGACCCAGGGCCACTGGTTTAGGAAAAGACACAGGACAACAGCCAGCAGACGTGGGATGTGGCTTCTGAGGTCCTTAAAGGACTGCCCACTGACTGGCCCAGGAGGGTCAGGACCTCAGAGGTTGTTGTGTGGGGGGACGTGGGCTCAGCCTGCCCTGAGGGAGTTGCTGGAGGGGTTCCCTAGAGGCCTTTCTCCTAAGATCTCAGGGTGTCTAGGGTTTCTAGTGCCTGAGCCTGAGGCCATGCCCACGGGCAGGGGACTCTGTGATCCCACTGTTGCCAGGTATAGGCAGAGTGCAGCCAGAGCTGAGGGCACAGGAGGCCTCCTTTGCTTCCCTGGGAACCCTGGGCTAGCCCCACCCCAACTGCTTCCCTCTGCTCTCCAGATCCCCAAGTTTTCCTCTTCTTCCTTATTAGAAACCCTCAGAATTAACAGCCCTATTCGCCAAGAGCTTTCTCTGTGCTGTGTCCAGAGCGCAAGAGGATGTCTAGCACTATCCTTGGGCAGCTGCTGCTGGACACAACCAGAGGATCGGCCCATTATTTTACAGAGCAGAAAACAAAGGTCCTGGATAGGGTTGCCAAATAATATAGAATGCCCAGTTAAGTTTGAATTCAGATAAATAGGGAATAATTGCAGTTACTTGAGACATTTTTTAAAAAATATTTATTGTTTATCTGAAATTCAAATTTACTTATATGCTCTATATTTTATCATGCTAAATCTGGCAACCTTAGTTGCCAGGGAAGTTGTCTTGCCCAAAGTTACAAAACTAGGAGTGGCTCAACCATGATTAGAGCTAAGGGGCCCTTCTTCATTTCTCAGAGCTCCAAGGCCCCTGCAGTGGCTGAGAGAGGGCCAGAGAGCCTGGTCTGCTGCAGAGAAAGCTCTTAGATGGGCTTGAAGGCCCCATCTAACACTCAAATCAAGCAGCTGCTTTTCTCAGTACTATCTCCACCAGGTGGATGTCAGGGCTAGAAAATTGTGGGCAATGGAAGTGTCCTGACCTGCCAATGCCTAAAAGCTACAGGTCCCCTTACTATCACCGGGTGTTCCCTAAGATCAGCTAGCCTCCCATCCCACCCATAGAGCTCACCTTGTGTGTTCGTCCAGACTCCTTGCTCTTGGCTGCTGGGATTTGCTCATAGGTGTTCCCAGGCTCTGGGAGCTCTGGGGTCCCCAAGATCTTCTCATAGCTACAGTCCGCAGGCCTTGACAGTTTGCTATATGTGGGACTGGCCCCAGGATGTGGAGGCCTAGCTGGGCCACTCCAACAAGCTGGAATCTGCTCATAAGGACTGCCTCCTTGGTCTGCTGTCCCAACAAGCTCATAGGAATCTGCAGAGCTGCCCTGGGAGCAGGACTGAGCCTCGTGACCTTGTTTCAGAAACCCCTGCCTCCAGGTAGCAGCCCGAGATCCCAGGGCCTCAGAACTGGGGGCCAGGAGAAACCCCCAGGATGTGGAAGACATTGTAGAGCCCTGGTCGGGACTCACCCCAGAGAGGGCAGGCCCTGGGCCATCAGGTCTATTCTGGTCTCCATCTGAAGGTCTCTTCAGAACCTCCCTGCCTAGGGAGCAGGCCTGGCTGCTAGCTGGAATTGACCCATGCCTGCTGGATGCTTCTGTGCCCGGGCCTAGCCGTGCCTGGTTCATCTTCTTCAGGTCTGCGTAGATGATGTCACTGGGGCCTGAAAAAGACTCATCCAGGAGGGAGGTACTCCTCTCAGGGAGGGGGGGTACCTTGGTGGGGGTCTGGGGAGAGAGGGACAGAGAACCTCTTAAAGGGTACCCCATTGCTAGGATGCCCTCAGGTTAACTGGACTCTCAGATAAGCTGAGGCCCCTGTCTTGGCCTCAGTTTACCTGTTACATGCTGGGGTTAGGATATGACATTCAGGGTCCCTGCCAGCTCTCGTGCTCAAGGAATACAATCTTTACCTTGAAATTCAAGTCCTTTGGCCACCAGCTCAACTCCTTACTCAAGCTTAGTCTGCCCTGTTCCTTCTGCCTCCAGTGTGGTCCACTGGTCCCTCAGAACCCCTGAACCCACCTACTTACTGCTGTCCCCATCAGAGTTGCCCACCCCCAATTCTATCACTGGTGTATCCTTTCAGCAAATACTTAGTGAACACCAGCTATGTGCCAGCCAGTCTTGGGCACTAAGGGCTCAGTGGCGAGCAAGATCAGCCCTTGTGAGCCTATGTTCTAATCTGGACATAGGCAACACAAGGCTCTATTACATAGTATAAGGGGACTTTATATACTATATGCTACTACTTGATCACAGTATAATGTGGTGTCACGTCACAATCAGTACTGTGAAGAGCAAAGTTAGAATGGCAGGTGGGAAAGAAAGTTTTTTTTTCCATTTAAGTGGATCTTACTAGGAGGGGACATTTAAAGAGAATGGAGTGCAGCGAGAGTGTGAGCCATACTATGGTCTGATGGATAGCGAAGGAAATCTGAGTCCCTCCCACGGGGTGCTGTGAAGTAAGAAGTATTGGCCACAGGCACCCCACTCTATAGTTTACTAAGGGATTTTAGGTATTTCATACCAATTCTCTCAGTGTAGCCTCACAAGAACTTCAGGAATGGTAAACCGAGATTTAGAGAGATTGCATAACTTGCCCAGAGTCATACAGTGAGAAAACAGCCAAGACCAGGCTTGAAACAAATCCCACTGGCAGGGGCAGGTCCTGGTGTGGGTGAGCCCCTGGCTGGTTCCAAGCTGGGCCTGCCTCTCTCCCAGACTGGTGTCCCCCCTCCGCAGCTGAAAGGACTGGCCAGCATGGCCGCTCAAGGCCTGACTGTGACGTGACACCCACATTGCTGGTCTAGAGGTCCTCACCCTGGATGGCCCAGAATCCTCCTCACCTCCGTGCTTTCCTCCTTGGAGGGGTTCCAGGGACTCACATCCAGGCTCTTCTTTGTGTGGAGGAAGGAGACCTGTGGCTTTGCAGAGGGGCAGGGGCTGGCAGCCTTGTTGGGGACCACTGTGGGGGATGCAGGTGGATTTTCCAGGTTGGTCTGGTGGAGGCCCAGGGTGATAGCATCATACAGATCATTGTCCTCTGGCTGGGGGCAGTGGGAACACAGCAGGCCCGTGGTCACACACTCCCTGCCAGCCTAGAGCTGCCTGCCAGCGCTGCTGGCAAGGACTGAAACATTCCCACCAGATTCCTGACCTCCAATAAAATTTTGCCACACTCTCCCCTTTTCAGATAGGGACCATGACCCCACATGGAGTGCCCCTGGATGGCAGTAAATAGGGAAGGTTAGAAAAGGCATGTGTCCAAGTGATGGACGCCCATACCTGGGCACCCAGCCCCTCCACCCTCGCCCCGGAAGAAGGGTGCTTACCCGGGGGCAGGCAGCAGCCAAGGTCTCCCCAAAGGGCTCGAGCTGCACTTCCTGGTAATGGCGCACCAGCTCGGCCAGGGTGCTGTGGCTGAGGGTGTCACCCGAGATGAGGTAGCGACGGTTTCGGAGCTGGTTGATAACAAAATGCCGGCAGCGATCGCTGCCCCTGCACACAAACACGGGTGGTCTGGGCTGCTGGCCAGAGGCATCCTGGCCTTGGCCTGGGGTCTGAACTCCAGGCCTGGGTGCAAGAGAGGGGCTCCAGCTCTCTGTCCAGTGCAAACCTGACCTGGGGCCACCCTTTTGCCTTGGAGCCAGGGAGTGCTCCTCAGGGAGCTGGAAAGAGGTTTCCAAACCTGAGGACCTGGGAAGTGCCTAAGCTCTTCTGGTGGAGTCAAGGAGGTCAGGGTCAGGACTAGGGCAGATCCTTGGTGCAAATTTAAAGGGGCACCAAAATACTCAATCATCGGGAGAACAAATAATGCAATATTTTTTTTTTCTCCTGGTACCAGGGATTGAACTCAGGGGCACTCAACCACTGGGCCTCATCCCCAGCCCTCTTTTGTATTTTATTTAGAGACAGGGTCTCACGGAGTTACTTAGCATTTCACTTTTGCTGAAGCTGCTTTGAACTCGCAATCCTCCTGCCTCAGCCTTCTGAGCTGCTGAGATGACAGGTATGTGCCACTATGCCAGGCCAAATAATGCAATATTTTAGATCAAAATGAATGCAAAACTCCATAATTAACAAAATACCAAAATTTTAAATAAATGTCAACCTTACACCATTACAACTCAGCCTCACCCTAACTGAAACCATGAGGTTTCATTTCCCACCACCCCCTTCAGCCTAAAGTGTCCCACCCTCATCATTTTCCTTTTATATGGGAGAATATTGACAGTGAAGTGTACATATCACAAATGCACAGCTGAATGAATTTCCATATAGGTACACACCCATGCAACTGCCATGTAGATGGAGGTAGAAAATTCTTCAGCCCCTAGAAGGCTGCCTTGGGCACCTCCCTGTCACGGCCCCCAAAGCAGCCACTGTTTTAACCCTACCACCACGATTCATTTTGCCCTGTATGGAGTTTCATAAATGAAATTATACAAAATTTCTATTGTGTCTAACTTCTTTCACTCAGTATTATATTTTGGGGAGGTTATTCATGTCTGTGTTGAATTAGTCCCCACCCCATTTATGTGCAGTTTTTCATCTAATGAAAAATCCACAATCTACTTATTGTGTTGATGGACATTTCGGTTATATCTGGATCTGGGCTGTTATAAATACAGCTGCCGTGAACATTCTCATTCGTGTCTTTGGAGAATATATCTACTCATTTCTGTTGAGACTATACCAAGGAATCAATAGGTCAAGGGTACACCTGAATCTAGCATGCCAAATTGTTTTCTAACACTGTTGCCAAGTATGGAGAGCGCCAGGTGCTCTGCATTGTCACCAGTTATTGGGTATCATCTGTCCCTCCAATTCAGCCATTCTTTGTGGTTTTGTTTTCCCAATACCTAATGATTCTGAACATTTTTTCAAGTGTTTAGGGGCTTTGGGATATTTCTTTTTGAAGTGCCTATTCAATCTTTTGTTTTTATATATTGAATTGTTTTGGTTTTGCCTCATTTACATATTCCAGATGAGTCCTTTGTTACCTATATGTATTTCCCCAAGACTGTGCCTTTCCTTCCCTGATAATCTTTTGATTGTCAGAAATTCTTAATTTTAAGGGAATCAAGTTTCTCCATCTTTTTTTTTAATGTTTAGTGCTTTTTGTGTTCTGTTTAATCTTTGCTTATCCCATTTTCAATGGCATTTTAATATACTTATGAGAAAATTTCCTGTTTTCGTCTGGAAACGTTGTTTTGCTTTTCTCTTTTGGATCTTTGATCTGTCTAGAATTAGTTAATTTTTGGACATAGTGTGAGATAGGCATCATTTTTTTTTCCATTTGGCTATCCCATCGCTCCCATACTAATTATTGAAAAAACAGGAATTGCAGTCGTGCCTCTGTTGTAAATCAGGTAACCAAACATGGCACACTCTCTGCACGTTCTTCTGTCCCACATGTCTATCTGTACTTTTTTGAGCGGCCCCTTTTATCTCTTTTATAAGTTGGAATTCTGCCTAAGATCTCATTTGGAGGAAAAAACTCAAAACAAAACAACAACAAAAATACCAGATGCAGAAAAGACACTTGGAAACTGCTGACTTATATTTCAAAGTGCCTAGTATAGTGTCCTGCACATAGCTTAAAAATAACTATTTTAACAATGACTAACATTTCTTTAATCCTTATTATATCCCATGTACTATGCCAAGTACTTTTAAATGCATCAGTTTCTTGAGCGCTTTTAACAATCCTATGAAATAAGTAGGAGAACATTCCCATTTTTACAGATAAGACGAGAGAAACACAGAAGCAAAGAGACTTACTCAAGGTTAGGATTTGAACTAGGGGTGTCTGGGTGTGTGATAATTTGGAATCAGAATCTGAGGCATTTTAAATTTGTCCTACAGCCCTGACCTCCTTCCCTGCCTAAGGAGCCTTTTCCCTCCTCTGCCTTTCTCAGCTCAACCTACTCTCAGGTCAGGATCCAATGTCACCATCAATGACTTTGTCCTCGTCCCTTGCATCTTCCTTTCTATCACCAGAGCCCTACCCTAACCCAGACCTCAAGCATCCCACATACAGCCAGTAGCACAGGTCCTCACTCACTGTCCCGACACCTCCAGACTAGGCTCCTGAGAGACAAAATGGGCATCTGCCCAGATCACCCCTCTTGGTCTACAGAAGTTTCTTTTTTTCTTTCTTTCTTTTTCTTTTTGTATCAGGGATTGATCCCAGGGGAACTTAACCACTAAGCCACATCCCCAACCCTTTTTAGTTTTTATTTAAAGACAGGATCTCACTAAGTCCTTAAGGCCTCCATAAGTTGCGGAGACTAGTCTTAAACTTTTCATCTTCCTATCTCAACCCTCAAGCTGCTGGAATTATGGGTGCACCACCACTCCCAGCTTCAAGGCTGTCTTGAGATGCCCCTTCCCTCCTCTCTGGGTGTTCCTCCAAAGAAACCACGAGCCCTGCTGTATCTAGCCCTCAACACCCCGTTCTTTGCCTGGCAAATTGCTGTTCCTCCTCCTATTCTGGGCTCAAAGCTCCCCTCTGGAAGGCCTTCCCCAGCATCCCTTTGGGAGAATGTGCTCACTTGGCCCTGTTCCCCATTGAAGGCTGTGGCTAGTGCTGCTCAGAAAGTGTCTATTGAGCATGTGATGGATGAACAAGGGAGTAAGGGGCACGGGACTCAGGGGAAGTCAAGCAGTGGGGGCTGCTGGACCCACACTGTGCTGATCTGTAGGCTGGTTCTGAGAGCCTGAGCCTGCCTTCCCCTCTTACCTGTAGGACAAGATGTAGCCGGCAGCCCTGTCACTGAGGCGGATGAGGAAGGAACCGAGAGCTTTGTCCCTGAGTAGCTGCTCCGTCTGCCTGGGCAGAGGACATGCCATTAGCTGGGGCTCCTTCCCTAATGGCAGCCTAAGCAGCCTGACTCAGAGTCCTGCCTCAGAGTCCCTGAGGGATACACCCTTGGGCACCAGACCCAGGGCACAGACAGTCCTTCAACCCTTGATAGAGGACACCCTTGGGTCTTTGACTGGGTCTGCAGCCTCTCAGGGCTGCCTGTAGTCTGTCTTTGCTTAATTGAACAAATTCAAGACTCAATCTGAGACTGGATCAAGGTCCTGAGGCCACAAGGACCTCCCTCCTCCCTACTGCAGCCTCACCAGCAGGCATACTAGCTGCAACTCCAGCCACACACTCTCCACCTGATGGTTGTGGATCAAGGACAGATCCATACAGCTGGAGATTATTAGGTTGGGGGGATCCCCCACTCAGGACCACTGTGTATAGTAGTGTGAGATGTGCACTACATAAGAGTTTCTGCAGGGAGAAGCCTCAAGCGTGGTCACAATAGCAGCTCACAGGGACTCACCACTCCCCGCCCCCCTCTTGTCCCCATAAGCCCCAGGCAGCTACAGATATTTCTACATGGTGCCAAGTATTTTGGAGGCATGATGGAAAATTCCAGCTGTTTTCTGGTTTGGCAGTACATCGACCCGATATTCCCTTACTCACTTTCTCATCAAGTACTTAACCAAGGGCCTGCTCTATTCAGGACCAGCTACGTAATCTGCAGGGCCCAATGCCAAACGAACTCGCTGGGCCCTTTGTTAAAAAATTATTAAGAATTTTAAGATAGTGACAGGAGATCATTGAAGAGAGTGGGGGTCTCTCTTGAGCACAGGGCCCTGTGCAGTTGTACAAGTTGATGCCATAAAGCTGGCCTGGCTCTATGCCAGGATGTACCAGGACCTGGTGACTGGTCAAACATCTTATGCCTTCATCTGATGCTTTGGCTACTTGGAGATACAGCCCAATTGGAAGACCAACCCCCACATCTTGGCATTTATTCCTAAGGTATCAGTGCACTAGAGTTTGCCTGGGATATCCCATTTGTGACAAATTCTCCTAGCTTAGTTACCGACAGTGCCAAGTTTGGGTGACAAATGATATAGTCCCCTAGCCATCCAACCAGTTATTCAAAGCTGGTCTGAGTGTGTTCTGCTCCCGCCTGGCCTTCTTTCACCCCAGCAACCCTAGACCTGAGTGATGGCCAATCCCCCTCCCCCACAGCCTCTCCCTCTGCCACAGAATCAGCCACCAGAGGGTGGAGTGGTCCTTAGTCTGTTCCCCCATCCTTCTCCTCCCCTAAGGTCCCTGCCTAGCACAGGGAGAGGGCAGGAACCAAAGATTCCTGAATTCTCAGGCCACATACTCAGCCCCAAGGGGCTGAGGGCTGTGTGGCCATGTGGACAGGGGCAGTCTTACTTGCGGGTGATGAATCCATGAAACCAGGGGGGCAGGGCCCCATTCTGCAGGATGAAGGGGGCTTGGGTCTCCATGAACCATTTCATGGCTAGTTCCTGGAGCTCAGCCAGGGCCTGGCTGTCCCTTGTTTCCTCAGTCTCCCTCCCCAGGCTGAGCTGCTTCAGGCTTCCCTCCATCCTGGCAAGCGCCAAAGCCACAGCAAGGCCGGGTCAGTCTGTGGGCCTCTATATCTGCCTGTGCTCTGGCTCATTTGCCTGAGCTCCCAACCTCCCACAGTGCACAGGAGCCCCATTGTCACCTCTGGGTGGTGGCTGGCTCTTCTCTCTGATGCTTTGGGACAGGGCACCTTGGCTGGCTGGAGTCACAGTGAGGAGGGCCACGGTAGCAGCCCAAGATGGGTAGGGACAGTTTCCTGGCCAGCAGATGAGCTGCCTCACCGGATTTGGCCTTTTCCCCCTGAACCTCCAGTCTTTGTCACAGCTAAAGACCAGACCCTGGCTGAAGTCCACAGCACTGCCCCTGTTAGCAAACCAGTGGATTTAAACTCTACATATCTTTTCCTTGTGGATACCATTTGTATTTTGGTGGGGGAAGTTCTGAACAGATTAATTCTTCCTTCCACTCAAAATTTATTGATTGCCTACCATATATGCCATGTGAATCTGGGCCCTGGGAATAAAGCAACAAACCACACAACACTCTGCTTATGGACGTACAGTCTAAGCATTCCAAGACAAAGGGAGAGGGAAACACCAGAGAGCACATGGACCACACTTCTTAGGCAGAGGGTCCCTGGATGCAGTCAGCCTTGCCCACGAGGCGACAGTGAAGGAGGAAGAGCTTCTGTTACCAACAAAGGGAAAACCATGTGCCACAACCATGAGACTACATTGCTACAGATTGCAAGGAACGATGGGGAGCTCATGTGGCTGTAACAAACTTGGAAAAGCTGGGTCCCCAGAAGGACTGGGCTAGGCCTTGGACAGGAAGTTTTGGAGCAGTGTAGGGCCACATGGGACCCTTTGCTCATGTGAATATTCCTGATCCCTAATGTGCTTCTGAGTTTCACAGCAGAAATTCAGGCTAGGTGGACATGGAAGCAGGAGATGTTGCAATCAGTCAGCCCCAAGACCTGGGTTAGAATCCTGCTTCCATCACACACCTGACACTAAGTTGTTGCAGATACCTCAATGTACTCATGATGGGAATAATAAGCACTTTCTAGACTCTAGGGTCATTATGAGGACTAGAAGAGAGCATAATGGTAAAGAATAAAGAAACATTTACATAAATTCAAAAAAGGCAGAATGAATCAAAGGTGATAGCAGTCAGGATAGTAGTTATCTTGGGGATGTAATGACTGGGAAGGGGGCAAGGAGCTGCTGAATGCTGATCAGGTTCTATTTTTGGATCTGGTTGGTGATTAGATGACTATGTTCACTGTATGAAAATTCACAGAGATGGGCACTCACAATGTATATTTTTCTATGTTCATGTTCTGCTTCAATGAAACAGTTAAAAGAAGGTGCTAAAATCACATTTCCATGGTTCAAATTCTACCTTACTAACTACATGACCCTTGATCAAATGTCATAAGTTTTCTGGTTTCAGTATCTTAATTTTTGAAATGAGGAGAATCATATGACCTGTGCATTCGTATTTCTTATATTGTTATAAATGAAAGGCCTGAAGCTGTATACTTTAAAGAAGTTTGTTTAGCTCACAGTTTTGGAGACTGAAAGTCCAAGATTGGGCTGACCCATCTATTTAGACTCTGGCAAGGCCTTCTTGGCTACAGCAATCACATCATGGCAGAAGGCATCATGGTGGGGAAGTGGGCAAGAGGGAGCCACTGCATGGTGAGACAGAAAGCCAGGGACCAGGCTCACTCTTTCATAACAACCCACTCTCACAGGATTAACTGGCCTATGAGAACTACTTTAATATCTTCCCAGAGTAGTACCCACCAATGACCTACCCACCTCCCACCTTTTAAAGGTTCCATCACCTCCCAACATTGCTACACTAAGGACCAAGCTTCAAACACATGAATCCTTGTGAGACAAACCATAGCAACCTGTTGTTAGAAAGGTTAAATGAGTTAAGTCCTTTAAACAGTGTTTGCAACAATGTAAGCAATTGGGATTAGCCACTGCTTGTGATGATGATGAGGAGGAGGAGGAGGAGGAGGAGGAGGAGGAGGAGGAGGAGGATATAAATATTCTAAAATATGGAGAGTGCACCCTGTTGGAACCTATCATTATTCTTATTATTACAACTTCATCATGGGTCAACTCAAATCAAGATAAAAATGTGTGTGATGCATACAGTTTAGAAGAAAGACCAGGACATGACGCAAACCTGGGCTGCTGCCCCTGCCTCTGAGCCATGTTTTCCACATCTGTAAAAAGGATAATTATTTTTACCACACACAGCATGGGATGAAATACTGCAAGTAACACTCTTCACACAGGGGCAAGCACCTAGGCACATTGCAAGTGTTCTCAGAGGGCTGGCTCCCAGGAACATCACTTTGACAAACAATAGATTTCCAGACTTGACAATTTGACAATTTTAGGGAGGCATCATTCATGTTCTTGCTAATTGATCTCTCTTGCCACACACAAGACAGTGCTATCATGGTGTCAGAATGGAAATCCCAGGCTGGCAAGTTCTGGAATTCTCTAAAATGCAAAGTAGGGAGGAGGGAGATTGTATCTTTATTTTCCCTAATCTCTAACTGAAACTCAGCATTTCCTTCCCTTGGAAGAAATAAACCACATTAATGTTAGTAGCACCTGTTACTTTGTCAGCAACAGAAATACAGATATTTGCATATTACATTACAGCTGTTGCAGACAGATATCTTCTTTGTTCATCATTACCTCAAAATTATAGCAATTTGATGCAATGATGGATTGTGTTCCTTAACACATAAATAAAGAAGCACAAAGGGTTACTACATCAAGAATATTTTGATAAACCCTATTTTCACATAATTTATTTTCATTGTCCCTCTAGGTATTGTATTTTGTGCATTAAAAAAAAAAAACTATTCTGGGGTTGGGGTTGTGGCTCAGTGGTACAACATTTGCCTATCATGTGTGAGGCACTGGGTTTGATTCTCACTACCACATATAAATAAATAAAATAAAAGTCCATTTACAACTTAAAAAATGTTTTTCAAAGATAGATTCTGGGGCTGCAGTTGTAGCTCAGTGGTAGAATGCTCACCCGTACTTGTAAGGCACTGGGTTCAATCCTCAGCACCACATAAAAATACAATAAAATAAAGGTATTATGTTAACCTACAACTAAAAAAAAATTTTTTTTTTAAAAATCTATTCTGAGCTGAGAATGTTGGCACATGCCTGTAAATCCCAGCTCGGGAGGCTGAGGCTGAGGATGGCAAATTCAAGACTAGCCTGGGCAACTTAGCTAGACTCTGTCTCAAAAAAGCTCAGTGGTGGAGTGCCCCTGGATTCAATCCCCAGTTCTGCAAAAAGCAACAATAACAATAACAACCACAATCTATTCTGTGCTTACTAGCTATGTGACCCTCGGGCTTCAACAGATTTCAAAGAGGTCCACAGCACAAAAGAGGCTGAGATGGGGGGGCGGGGTCCAACTCAGAGTTGGTTCACTGCCAAAGTGAGATCCTGGAAGTATTCAAATACAAAGAAATGTGCTTCTATAATTTTCCATGAGGTATTCTCTCTCCACCTCCCAATTAGGCTGGATACTTTTATGGGAAGAACCTGGTCATTTTCATAAGAGACAGTGGCTTTGTGTACAAAAGGACACAGAACCCAGGATGGCTGTGGGCCAGGCAAATAAGGGGGAGTCTATATTTATACTTCAAGGAAGTGTGGAGCTGAGTGGGGTGGAGGCCCAGGTTTGAGGGGAATTGGAAGCTCCATGAAGGACTAGGGGTAGAAATGGATTGTCATGGACAACACTCTGCATTCCATTGTTTAGTTCATTACACATGGGCAACTACTGGTGCTAGACCCTGGGCACAGAGAGGATGCTGGAATAGCCCCACCCACCTCCTCCTGGGGCCCAGAGGTGTAGGAAGAAGGATTAAGAGGCTTCAGGCTCTAGATCAGACTAATGGAATCCCAACTCCCCATTTGCTGGCTCTGCAGCTTACATTTATCTCCGTTTCCTCATCTATAAAAATGGCGGAGAAATGAAGCACCTACCTGGAAGGATTTGGTGATTCAGTGAGCTGATGCATGCAGTTCTGTGGCTGGGAGGCACAGCTGCACATGCTGGCCTCATGATTCACACACAGCTTCAAGTCATCCCCCCACTTGGGAAGTCCCCAGAATTTGATGTACTTGTCCTGTCTTAGTTCTTCCCTGTCTTGGGTCCTTCTCTCTTGAGGGTCTGCTTTTTCTAGAGGACAAACAGATGGCAGTGAATTATCCAACGAATTACTCTCTCCTAAAGGCATTCAGCCTGGCTTGTCTTCTTGGGAAACAGGCCTGCGGCATCCCTGGAAAGATGCTCAGAGGGAGTGTCTCTCCAGCCCAGTGTGGACAACCCCAACACTCTCTCGCTTCTCCTTTCTCGAGACCATGCAGGGTGACCATGTTCATGATCCGGTGCTGCTGGCAGCTAGCCTCTTGGGTGAAATGCCAAAGTGGACTTTTCAGCAAATACTAGTCATGTGCTTATTTTAATGCATGAACACTTTTTTTTTTTATCCTTAGTTGTTTTTAGTAGATCTGAATTTGTTCCATAAACCTGAACAGTGGAGAATGAATGATTCCACCTTCTTTATCTCTGCTTCATTCTCCACCCTATTGTGTCTAGAACAGTGTTTGGCACGGGTAGATGTTCAGTAGTTTTATTTAAATTATTATTTGAATAGATGATACATCCACATGGGTTTTTTTTAATATTTATTTTTAGTTGTAGTTGGACACAATACCTTTACTTATATATTTATTTTTATGTGGTGCTGAGGATCCAACCCAGGGCTTCACACGTGCTAGTCGAGCACTTTACCGCTGAGCCCCCACATGGTTTTTAAAAATATAAAATATAAAAAAGTATCTGTAAAAATATTTTCTTCAAGTATTAACTCATTCCTGATCCTGGGTCTTTCCCACAGATCCTGTGTCTTTTTACTTGTTACTTGTTTCTGGATTGTTCTTCCTGGTTTTGT